GCGGGGCGGGGGCCGCGGGGCCCCGTGAGGCGCTCGGGCGAGCGCGCGGCAGCCGGAGCCGGCGCCCGCGAGCCAAAGGCGCGGCGTCTGGACCGGGCGCGGGCCGCGGAGGCCGGAGACCGCCCGGGGCGACGTGCGCGCTTTGTTCCCGCGCGGGCGGCCGGCGGGCGGAGTGAGCGGCCCGGAACGCGACTGGGCATGGCCCGGGCAGCCGTCCTGCGCGCCCCGGCCCCGTCTCGCGCCTGAGCGCGGCCGGCGCGAGAAGACAGCGCGCGGATTGCCCCCAAGTTACGGAGGCAGGGACCGAGTTCGAAGGAAAAGCCACTTCAGGAGCCGGGTCGCGAGAGTGCAATCGCCTCCCGTCCGCCGGACCCCCGGACCGTAAGTGTCCCGTCCGTCCGCGCGCTGCCGCGCTGTCACCCGACTCCGCCCGCGGCTGCTGTCCTAGGGTCTCCCTACAGCCAGGCAGAGTGCGTGGGCCTCCCGAGGCACCCCCTCCCCACTTTGCAAAGTTGGAGCCCACAGCGGGGTGGGGCCAGCCCAGTCAGCGCCCGCCCACTGACCACCCCCAAGGTGAGCGGGAACTTGACCTGCTGGGGGTGTGGTCAGACCTAAGGTGGGACCTGCCTGCGGAAGGTGGGGAGTCCTGTGGGTTCCCCTGCGGTGCCCGCGCTTCCTGACCAAGAGGCCTCGGGCCATGTGACAGGGGACTGGTTGGGGGGCAGAGAGGGTGACCCTAGGACAGATGGAGGTGCCTGTGGCCAGCCTGGGGAGGGCAAGAGCTCCTTCTAGCCCCTCCCCCTCTTGTTTTGGTTCCTGGACATGCCTCCCAGCGCAGGAGCCGTTAAACATTTTTAGGGGTGAAGTCCTGGGGGGGTGGGTCCTGCCCCACTCCGCGTGGGTGGGGAGAAGGTCTTAAACAACAGCCGCTGGATCCTGACAGCTCCGGGGCCTCGGGCGCAGCCCCGTGGCAGCGATTCTGCTCACACGCTTTGGGAACCGTCCATCTGCATGTTGGGCAGGCTGGGAGCCAGGCTGTGGGAACGGCGGGGAGGGAGGTGTGAGCCGACGTGGAGGGACAGATGGCTGGAAATTCAGCCCTAGACGGGCTTACGTGGAGCAGAAGGCGGCGGGGCTGGTGGCAAGCCACACTCTGAGCCACCGGGCTCTGAACACACAGCCCTAGGCTGTTCCGCCTTCCGGCCCCTGGGAACTGCGTGTGTGCTCAGACCCCTGTAGGAGTGGAGACCCCTGCCCGTCCCCCCCACCCCCGCCAGAATAACTGTATTCCCCACCATTTGGGTTGAGGCTGGCCTACCTCTGGCCTGTTGCAGAGACCAGGGAGAAACATATTTCCTTTGAGAATAGAGATCTTGTGCTCCTGTGGGGGATGATCTGAGCAACCATCAGGCCCTGACTTTGACTAGCGGCCAGGACACCAAATCATTATGTCTAACTGGGCGTGTGTTTCCTCCCCTGGACCCAGAAACAGGAGGTTCCCAGGACGGCCGCCCTCAGAGGACAGGGGCTGGCCGGGGACAGGGGGAGGGCAGCTATTCTGTGTCCCTCGTCGCTCTCCCAAGTTGCCGCAAGTTTTGAGAAACTTCTTGAGGCTGGGCCCCTGGGGGGCGTTAGCTCTTGCCTGCCCTGGACGCCAGGCAGCCCCCCACATCTTTTCAGGGGCAGGGGCAGGGCACACTCACAGAGGGCTGGCGCTGTGATGGGCACTGGGGTCTCGCTATGTCATCCCACCTCCCACCTTCTGTCCTCTGCATGGGGGTCCCAGGGAGGCAGGGGGTTCTGTGCTCTGTTCTGTGCAGCTGACAGCCTGGTCCCTAAAGAGCCCGGCTGCGTGGGGCTCTGTTGCCGGGCCACCCTCATACGATGCGAGGGAAGAGGAGGGTCGGGGCGCTGAGCACAGGAACAGATGTGGCGCCTGGGGCTCCCGAGAGCTAGGCGGACTCTGGGTGGGAGGGGATATCACATTAGGACCAATTTTCTGTCGGAATCCGGCTCTCTCTGGAGTTGCCTTGATCTGTGTGTGATGGGGGGAAGGGACGTGGTACCCGGTTGCTCACAAGCCCACCCAGGGTTCCCGGGCTGGCGAGCTGGAGGATGTGGGGCGGACATCTTCCTCCAGGACCCTCTGGGGCTGCTCTGGGCCACCCACCAGCCCTTCCTCTGTCACCAGGTGATCCGCGTAATGAGTTCCCACCTCCAGGAAATCTCTGATTTGGGTCCACATATTTTCATTTCTGCATAACTGGAAGAAATTAATTTTCCTTCCTACATAAGGATCTGGAGACTCCGGCAGGCTGGGTCACTAATCCACAAGATGCAAGCCCACGAGGCTGCTGTAGGGGGGGCAGCAGGGGAGGGTGGTGTCGGGGGAGGCATCTCCCTGCCACCTGGAAGTGCCCTGGAGCTCTCGGCGCCCTCCCCCTTCCAGCTACTTGTCTGCCTCCTGCAGGACCTGCAGGGTGGTGGTTGAATTCAGTTCTTCTGAATTCCCCTGCCCGTCAGCGTGTGCATGTGTGTGCACACATGTGTGCTCAGAATCCAGAACGTGGGCGCGGTGAAGAGCTAGCACACAGTAGGTGCTTAATGAGCGGTGCTCTGGGGGTGGGAACTGGTGTTTCCGTGGGGCAGCTCTGCCCTGCTCGTGGCCCAGCTCTCACCGCGTGTGGTCTGTCCTGCAGCCGGCACGAGTCAGCCTGGGGACCAGGCATGCGTTGCCCAGCCAGGCTCAGCGCTCACACTCACCACCTGAGTCTGCGGGACAGCCTGCGGGGCGGTGGGACTTTCCCCGTTTCACAGACGCCCGCCCGGGGAGGTGTGGGCTGTTGATTCCATGAGGGGAGCCCGGGTGCCCCACCCCCACCCAGACAGCAGCCGCCTTGGCCTCCCTGTGTCTGTGGCCCTCGTCCCCGGCCCGCCTGTCAGGGTTCCTACCACACCTGGGGGGGCTGGTGGTGACTGCTGGGTGCTAAGGGGGGGGTTAACGCCCCAGATGTCGGAACCCTCACCTGGACACAGTCTCAGGCTCGTGGGGCACAGTTGTAACTGACGTCCAGGGCACCACCTGGGGCTGGGGGCCACCTGGGATCAGGGCCAGGGAAGGTGAGCACCTCTGCCCTGTCTGGGTCACAGAGGCCCAAGGCCAGCCCCCTCCCCCATGCCACCACCCTGGACAGGGGAGGGGTGGTCATTGTCACTCAAGGCCCTCTAGAAGCCACTGGACATTGTCTGTTAGAACACTGGCATTGCTGTTGGGCAGCTGATGTCACCTCCCAGACCCGGGTGGGGGGGCCTGAACTCTGTAACTTGTAAATGTGGGAATGTGGCCACTGTTGCATTTACTGGACCAAACTGGCTCTGGAAGGTGCTTGTCACCCATCGCTGCGTTGCTGGACAGGTAGTCATCCAGGCAGGGGGTAGAGTGACCGTAACGCAGCACCCACAGCAGCTCACACCCTCATGGCAGGCTGTTTCCTCTCATTTGACCTCAGGACAACCCTGAAGGTGGGCACGCTTGCTGTCCCATTCTCCAGATGGGGACACTGAGGCCAGGAGAGGTCCACCAGAGGGTGGACAGGCCCCTTAGGCTTTCCGCCAAGTTCCGACTCCGGAGGGCCAGTGTGGGGCCTGCAGGCATGCTTTCTTAGAGCCCCCGACAGATTCCCATGTCCCCCCACCAGGAGCCTCTGCGTCCGAGGGAGGGGCAGGAGGAGGCTGGTAGCTCGCGATTGGTGGGTGTCCGTCTGGGGTGTGGCCTTTGAGGGCCCAGGCTCCCGGGGAGGGGGGAGCTCAGAGGAGTTGGTTGGTGGAGGCTCCTTTTTTGCACGAGGTCACAGCTCCTAGAGGCGTGGGTCTCCGGGTCCAGGCCAGTCTGCGCGGGCACCACGCTGTGTATTCTGAGGGTCAGGCTCCAAGACGGTTGGACACACCTCCAAATCCTTTCTGGGCATCATGCCCCCAGACTTCTGGGCAAAAAAGGAGCAGGCGTGCTTCTGCTGCCACGGTTCTGAGGCCGGAACCCTGCTCCGTTGGGGCCCAGATGAGGCAGTGTGGAGGGCGGGCCCCCTAAGCCAAGCACACAAATGCCAGCACGGGCTTGGCATCTGTAAACAGGCTCCTGGGCAGGATGTCACCCTCGTAACCTCCGTGGAAAAAGCCAGGCAGAGGCCTGGCGCTAGGGATGGAAACTCAGGATAAGGAAAGTGACAAATAGTGGGTTCCCAGTTCCCGCGTCTGAGTTCACGGCATACCCGGGGCACTCGGTGCATGGCTGAGTGGAGCCTCCGACGAACGCACCGTGTGCAGCAGTTTCCTGCGGCAATAAAACAGAAGAGTCAGGACTTCTGCCCTTTGTAACCCGGGGACCTGCACCGGCAGCCAGATGTCGGTGGGAAGGAAAGCAGAGATGCTTTTGGCTGCAATGAGGAAACCTTCTCTTCGGGCCAGGGTGCCCGCAGTCCCGCTTGGCTGACCACCCACATGCTCTTGGCGTCCGGTATCCATCCTGCTTACTGTCCACACCTGCTTCCAGGCTCCCGGAGCCTGGGTGCTTGGACCTCCCACTGCCCCTGAGGCCAGAGCGTGGTGGACGTGGCAGGAGGAGGTTTGGGAGGATGTCCGGCACTGGGCGCCTTCTGTTTACTTGGGCAGAGAAAAGTCCACAGCGGGGGCAGGGCAGGAGCCGCAGCTGCCGGGGCAGGTCTGGTGGTCTCCTTGTGTACCTGACAGCCCTGGGCCACGTGTGGGACCCACAGGGGAGTACTCACCCTGTGGTCCCGACCCGGAAGCACCCGAGAAAGCGAGGGTGAAGCCACGGCAGGAAAGGAAAGCCCTCCACTGCTGTGGCCCCCCTTACAGGCAGGCGGGGGACGTGTAGAGAGGCTGGAGGGTCGTTAGGACCAGAGGAGGCCACAGCCCCCCCCAGCATGGGGAGCCTCTGTCCTGTTCACCCAGGGTGTGTGGAGGGGAAGGGGCACCACTCTGGCCTCTCTGAGCCCCACTGCTGAGATTTGAATCCTGATTCCCCTTCTGGTCACTGTGTGACCGGCAGCACATGGCTCACCTCTCTGAGTCTATTTCAATGCAAAATACAGTTGCACTGGCTCCTCCCTCTTTGGGTTGTAATGAGGGGTGAAAGGTCGGGTGTATCTGGCTGATTGGTGGCTCTAGACCTGGCTGTCACAGCCCCTCTCTGGGGGACACTCAGTGCCAGTGCCGCCACAGCTCTG